GACACATATATATATATAAACTAAAATCATTACTTATCTTTTTTGTTGTTATTTAATTCTTTACTTGAATGTGAATGTGAATACCTTTGTCCCCGCTAGTTATTGTATCATCTCTATTACAATATTCATGACGATTATGCAATGCATTTGATGTTATTATTCACAATAAATGAGATAATTTCCTGTCAAGTAAATGATGAGAAAATTTGGCAGAGCTAGAGAATAAACTAATTGACGTTTTTGACCCGAACCTCTTTACATTTAGGATAAGAGCTCCATTGCTTGTACGCAAAGGAATGGTTTAAATATTCAAGCTTAAGTAATTTTAATATCTATCCAATAATCAAATGTCTTGGTTTTTTTTATATATGTGTTCCGACCACATCTACCTCGGTTACCCTTCTCATCACCCTTTTTAGTTAAGATAGCCATATCCTATCCAATCAAAATAAAGAATGAGGCCAGTTAGAGGTAAATTGTCTAAAAGTTATGTCGCTTTTTTACATTTGACATTTTTTAGTTATTGATAATAATTACGCAAAACAAACATACCAACAACAATCACTTGTTTATTGTTATGATAAATAATCTTATGGAGTCACCTATATAATGTAGAAGACATAATAAATTTCGCTCCACATTTTGATTTATAATATCAATAAGATATTTAATAAGATATTAATACAAAAAAAAAAAACTCTGGCTATTAACAAATAACATATATCAAATAATAATACTTTTAATAAAATTAAATATGTTTATTAATGAATGCCTAGTTCTATCCTTTGTCTTAGATCTTTCATCAAGATATAACGCTACACCACTTGTAAAAAAAATTTTTTACGTGTTCAGAAATGTATTATTAAATTTTTTTTTTTTAAAAAATGAACCCACAATTACTAACAAAACAGGAGAACGAGAAAATCAGCTAGAGAGGAAATCAAATAATAAATCAGATAATCAACCAAAGCTCGACAACAAATAGCAGATTTAATATCATAACTCTCGAGTATTCGAATGGATGCGTGCAATGGAGGGAAAGGTGGAAAAGGTGGAAAGGTAGTGGAATAGTCTGCCTCCTAAAACAGTAAAAAAATTAATT